GGAAATTGTAGATCTCGTCGCCCTCTACAAGAAAGGTCCTATGCAATTTTCCCGTATCTCCAAGGGTTTAGGAATTATCGAGGAAAAACGAAATTTTTTTCCAAAAGTTCGCCGTTTCGACGGTGGAATGGTCGGATTTCGTCAACATCAATAAAATGCCAAATAATCATATGTAACTCGTTAAATATCGAAGTTAGAAGAAGAACAACTTTTATTTGAAACATTTTTCGCAATTTTGAAGAAAAAAAATTTTTCGTCAGCATCAATACTTATTTGGATATTTCCTTCTATACTTTTTAGCACGTAGCTATTTATTATTAGCATTATTCTTCCGACGTCTGATTTCTTTTTAATTATAGGAAATGCGTTTTTCTAAGGCTCATAAACTTTTGGGATTGACTGTATAGCCAATACATCCTTAAGATATACGATAAAAAGTATGGAAAAGTAAGAATTATAGGACATGTAGACAATGTAGACAGTTGCATGTTACTTATAGTCCAATAAAAAAATACCAAAGTTATATTATTACAAATATTGGACACAGGTTTTTATTAGATGTCTTAAACTTTTGGCAGAGATCTTACGGCTCATATTAATTTTAACGACGATCTCGGTTCCGTAGCAATCGAGAATGGTTACAATAGGAATACAAGAACTCGTTGATTGATTGAAATTACTAAATTATGGCATTTTCCTTCGTAGCACACGTACACTCGAAAAGTGGTGCAGTCGGTATCTATCCGCTCGTAACGCGTCAGAGTGGAAAGCAAATAGCGATCGAGGTTCTAACGATTCGGCAATTTCCAACCTCGTAGATTTTTCGATAATGCGATTACAAGAAATACAAGCGGCGCCTTAATGACCCCGGCTGGAAATTACGGGGAGGAAATGTGTGGCGCGTTGCTCGTTAAATTAATGGCGCAATTTCAGCGTCGTGCCGCGTGACGCGACGCGAGGCGACCCGACGCCGACGCGCGCGTTGCTACCGGGAGGATCGAAGCTGCAAATACCTATTTGCCGCACGTCCGAGCGGTCCGCACGACCGTCCGTTCTCACTTCAAATTTCACGCACCATTCTTCGCGTCTCGTTGATTCGATTAATTAGCCGAGTCGCGAGGACCGATTGTCCCTCCGCGCGGAAATCAGAAACACCGGTTTTTTCCACCGCTCGTCGTTCCACAGGAAGTCGTAGGAAAAGAAGAGATTTATTTCCCGGGGTTCTTTCCATTTACGCCGAACCTTTTTCCTGTCGCGGCACCGGAATGAAAAACCTGCGAGTTACCGAACCGGCCGATAAAAAATGCAAGAGCAGCGGTTTGCGCGTTTCGACAAGTACGTAGCTGACAGAGGATCGCCGCACCGGTGGTGGGTGATAAAAGGGAATTCGCATCTGGTTGGCGTTCGATCGAAAGAGCAACGGGTAGTACAAGGTTGCCACTGTGGATCCCCGACGCAGGGGAATTCGCCGCGGCGGCGGCGGCGCGCCGGGTTTTCGACAAGAAAACTTGATCGGCGTCAGGTAGCGAGACAATCTATCACCGGGCCAGCTGGTTCTGTTACTGGCTTCGACGTAAAATCAATGCCGATCCTCATTTCCATGTAAATTATCTCCGACACGGGTGTCCGTCGAAAACGCGCGGCTGCCGAATCGACGGAAACCCATTGAGTCCCTCTTTTCTTTTTTAAACAGGATTTCATCCCTTGCGACTAACGAAAAAGTAATTAAACGCAGCTAGTTAAAAAAGTATATCAAATTTTTTATTTCTATTGTCTGTCCTTGGCCAATATCCCGCCCTACAAATCCTCTAATTGCCATGCAATTCAGGGATTAAGGTAGTTTTAAAACTCCAACCTTTAAAAGCTATTTTGAAACAATGTGGATTACTGTACGAAATAGCTTGAAACATCGTTTAATACGTTAACAGTAAGTGGTTTGATTAAGGTTTTAACTATTAATTCCTGTGAGTAAAACCGAGCCTTAATGAAACGTCGAATTGATATGGATAGCAATTTATGCTGAAATCGACGCAGTATTGTGTACTCATCGAGTTACTATCGGGAACGACCGGGAGATTACTTCCGATCGAGGGAAGGATTCGGTCAAGGATCGAATCGCAATTGAATCATCCTGCGTCCAGTCTGGAGGACGCGGTTATATAATCAGAACGAACTACGCGAAATCTGATCGCAATCTAGCTTCCAAGAGTGGCAATGGCCGGCATCGGCGAGGTCTCGATACCAACTTGACGATTCGATTACCTCTCTACTAGAAACTAAACTGAGTAGCACGAGTAAATTGAAAAGATTCCTGATTCGGCTTCGAATAAACCGGCATCGTTATTACTCAGTGGCGAGATTAAATTAACGAAGGAAATAATGAAGTTGGGATCGAAACGGTAACAAACCGTATACGAAACGCGGTCGTTATTTCGCGTCGGGTTCAAATTCTATTCGCGTCCTAATTACCGTGATCATTTACGGGCGTCAAACATCGTGCAACGCCCGGGATTATCGAATTCGACTATGAGTACGCGCGCGCTGACCCACCTGCAGATGATTAACAAGTTCCCTCCGTCGTTCGCAATTATTAAACAATTTCAACTTGTTTTCTAGCGCATACCATGCGTACGTACGTATACAGGGTGTCTCAGAAAAAGTGTTTTAGCCGAAGAGAGGTGATTGTGTAAGTGTTTCTGAACAATTTCCTTTGGCAAAATGCAAAGTGAGTCAGTGAGCATAGAGCGGGCCCTACGCGTGCTCTCATTGGACAGTGTTTTTCGTTAATAATTCAAAAACCAAGCCTCACTTTGCATTTTACCAAAGGAAATTGTTGTTCAGAAACACTTACAGAATCACTTATCTTCGGCTCTAACACTTTTTTTTCGGACACCCTGTATAGTTCCTTCCTGTGCAGACATGAATCTACAGAGACTCCTGTGCAGGT